AGGCTTTTACAGTAGCTATAATGAAGATCATTGCTCAAAAAGCCTACTCTAGATCCAGGTGTTTTAGCAAATGATAGGCCCATATCCAACCTTCCTTTTATTTCTAAAATTCTTGAAAAAGTTGTTTCAAGCCAATTATGTGATTATCTGCATAGAAATAGTTTGTCTGAAGAGTTTCAGTCAGGATTTAGAATGCATCATAGTTCAGAGACAGCACTGGTGAAGGTTACTAATGATCTTCTTATGGCCTCAGACAGTGGACTAGTTTTTATACTCGTTCTGCTGGATCTCAGTGCTGCATTTGATACAGTGGATCACAGCATCTTATTACAGAGACTCAAATGTTTAATTGGGCTTCAAGGAACTGTACAAATTGGTTTAAATCATACTTATCAGACAGATTCCAGTTTGTTCATGTTAATGATGATTCTTCCACCTGCACAAGAGTTAGTTATGGAGTTCCACAGGGCTCTGTGTTAGGACCTACATTATTTACCTTGTACATGTTCCCCTCAGGCAACATTATTAGGAAGCACTGCATAAATTTCCACTGTTATGCAGAAGACACCCAGCTATATTTATCTATGAAGCCAAAAGAAACCGATCAGTTGGTCAGACTCCAGGCATGTCTGAAGGACATAAAGGCCTGGATGACCTGTAACTTGCTTCATTTAAATTCAGACAAAACTGAGGTTATTGTATTTGGCCCTAAACACCTCAGAAACACACTATCGAACCAGATAGCTATTCTAAATGCCATTGCCTTGGCTTCCAGTTCTACTATAAAGAACCTTGGAGTTATTTTTGACCAGGACATGTCATTCAATAGCCATATAAAACAAGTTTGTAGGACAGCCTTTTTCATTTACGTAATATTGTAAAAATCAGGAACATCCTGTCTCAGAGTGATGCTGAGAAACTAGTCCATGCACTTATAACTTCTAGACTGGACTATTGGAATTCTTTATTATCAGGATGTCCCAGTAACTCTCTAAAAAACCTCCAGCTGATCCAAAATGCTGCAGCCAGGGTTCTGACAGGAACCAGTAAGAGAGATCATATTTCTCCTGTATTAGCTTCTCTTCATTGGCTCCCGGTAAAGTCAAGGATAGAATTTAAAATCCTGCTTTTAACATATAAAACTCTCAATGACAAAGCTCCATTTTACCTTGAAAACCTTATCGTGCCGTATCATCCTAACAGAGCGAAACAACATTTTGTAATTGTTGTCAGTTGGAATATTTCAGTAACCTGAGGTTGATTAAACTCAACAACATTAAGAAAATCAGTTTTCTCAGTTACAGTTCTATTGTCTGTCCAGTTTCGGGATCTGGGTGTTAATTTTTAAACACTGGCTCAGTTCCAGCTGTGATACCTGACGCTGATTGGCAGGTCGTCCAGGCAAACTTCGCCGTCCTCACCGTCCACAGCAGACACGATGGATCTGACCAGCCGGCTGTCGGCCCACAAACAGCCACTGACCTCAGCAGGTGAAGGGCTAAGAGAGGCCTGCAGGGTGGAGACAACAAGGGAGGACATACTGAGGAAGCACCACAGACTCAACATGGTCAAGTCACTGAGGTCGATTTAGAGTAAGATCAGAGTCACGTGCACAGTGGTAAGAGGAATGTACTACGAACGTATGTTCAGCCTAAAGTCAGAGATTTCAGTGTCTAGAAGATGTCCCTCTTTAATCTGGTAGATCACCACGGTAACTGATGTTGCACAGCTAACCTGCTCTGGAGGAGGCTCTGTTCAAAATTTGGAATTTAAGACCAGTTGTATGAAGCTTCATTTTATCAGTTCTTCTCCTGACGGTTCATCTGAGTGATGCAGTTTCTAAGGGAATATGATATCTGCAAGTCTGTTCAGCTGTATGTTAGTAATCCTACTGAACAACGTCGTGCAGTTACAGTTTCACTTGCAGTAAGCAGGGGTTTTTCTACAAAAAATTGTATGAGGGTGCACACCGTGTCGAGGGAGCAAAGCGACTGAGGGGGGGTTGGTGCAGAAGGAAGAGGGGGGGTGACCCTATGATACATGTACAAGCTCGGGGAATTCCCCCACCTTCTCCAGGAGCTGCGCCTGCATGATGGCCGCTTCCAACGCTGTTTTTGGCTGATCGGGACCCAGTTTGACTACCTGTTGGAGAGGATCGGCATCGCGCTATGCGATATGCGCGTTTAGCACGGCTAGAATCCCGTCATTCACGCAATGAATTTGCTCAATTCACGTCAATCCTGCCGTGCTAGTCATGCCGTAGGAAATTTACTCGCGTCTAATCGCGTCTTCACATTGACTTTACATGTAAATCCTTTGCGCAAATGATTTTACTTGCATCTGGTGTGAACACAGGGTTCAATCAGCATTTTGGTAAGAGGGAGCAGCGCCCCTGTAACATTGTTTAGACAAACCTCTGGCAAGCATTGCATTGCCATGGTAACCTACATGCATTCAGTTGGTGATTCAGGAAACGCACAAATATGTTTTTATGTTTTGTTCTGATTTGCTGCCCAGGCCATTTTACACTGCTGGTACTGCAGCTAATAGAAAACTGATCAGAAAATGGATTATCCTGCTGGTATTCATCAGAGAGAATTTTCAATCGAGAACATAAATTTTACTCCAGGGATTTCTACGTCTCTTCCGTTATAGGACAGTGTCAGACCTACATGTTAAGCATCATGTTTCACTGAATGTAGTTTAAAGTTTCAGCGCTCTAATGTGAAAAATAAGCAGCTGCATAGAGAGTCACTGAGCGGGAAAATACTTATATGAACTTACAGCATTAGCAGTTTCCTACCAGCAGTTCTCTCTCACACCATTTGCAGTAGCAGTGCTTTTATACTTAAATAAATTATTATATTAAGCATAACTGTTCCTCTTGACAAGTAGGTGGCACATGATTGGTCAATTTTGTGCAGAAAAAGCAGCACATGATGCATTAAACACCCCCCTTTTGTGGGAACATGCACAATAAAAAGAAGAAAATCAGATTCACAGAGAAAGCTGATAACTATTGTCATGATACCATAATCTCTGATTGATATCATTAACTCTGACTCTGAGGGTTTAGGTTTTGTCGAACCGGCTTGAGGAAAGAAAGCCTGGAAATGTCAAACTTGCTTTGTAGTACAGCCTTCAGGTCAGGCTAAGACAATGCACACGTCCTCCAGTCATTTCCAAAACCACCCAGCAGAGATGAGCTGTTCTCACCTGTAGCTGCAGGTGTGTGAAGGACGAGTGCAGCAGCATGTAGATGACAATGTGATGTCTCTGAGGAAGCCCTCTGGACAGCATGGGAGGAAACACCGACTGACAGACACACAGGCAGAGAAGGCTGTCAACTATTCACAAACACCTGGGCTACAAAAGAACTTTTACATTGTACAACACGGTACTACATGCTGATATATGTGAATATGTGCAATGAAATAGGAGTGATGACATCAGAGTTTCATGTGATATTAGGACGCTCTCTTGTGTTTACAAACGGAATGACTGAGATTAATCAATTTGTCTCCTGCAGTTCTTCTCTGTTTCTGCCATCCTTCTTTGTTCTATCGCTTTTATTGCCCACTGAAGTCCAGAACTCAAAGCATTATTATTTACTATCTCCACACACTGTTTTAGGTTAGTCTGTAGCTGTTTCCTAACTTCTCTGCCAGCTGTTAGCGTAGCCTTAGCCACTGAAACAGCAGGAAATGTCCTGATTTGTGGCAATGACTGTGCTTCTTGTTCAATTTTTGCAGGTTGTGTCTCTGCAAGAGGGATGTGTCTGTCAGTTAGAGCAGAATGCTAAAGTTGAAGTTACAGTAGTCCATATAGCATTAGCCGCAGGCTAAGAAGCACAGCAAACCTCTCACCAGCACCGTCTGTACAATAACTTCCAGCTGCACTGACACCAACAGGTGAATTCTGGAGGTGTTTTCAGGTGAAACTGAGCAGCTGTGGAAGATTGTTATTACAACTTCAGCAACATTTGCTACCTCACCTAACAGAGCTGCTGCAGTCTGATAATGTGCTAGTCAGCTTGTCAGAGCAAAAGAAGTATTTTATTAGTAATTGATTAATATAAATGCTGTACATCGGCTCAAACATGGGAGCAGATATTCGACTCGACAGTCGGCTGCATCGGTTGGATGTCAGGTTAATAGTTATGCTGTCATCTGTGCGTCCGTCTCACCTCCCACAGTCCCAGTATTTTTGGAGAAACTTCCTCTGGCTCCAGTTTGAGTCCAGTTTCCTCCTTTAACTCCCTGAGACCTGCTTCAAGTAGCTGCACACAAACACAGGGACAAAGTCTTTTTGAAGTTTCTGCCGCGAATGAGGCTGACTCAGAAACAGAGAAACAGAAAATCCTTTACCGTCTCATCTGGTTCAACGTGGCCGCCTGAAAGAGCAATAAAACAGGAGCTTTAAAAAGCACAAACAGAACTCTGTGTGTGTGTGTGTGTGTGTGTGTGTGTGTGTGTGTCAGACCTGGTGGAACCCAGACGTTAGGAAATATTCGAAGTTCCTTCGCTCGCCGTGTCAACAACACTCTGTGATTGGCTGTCTGCAGGAGGATGGCCACACCCACATCCACTCCACGCTTTTGAATATCCAATGGGATCGCAGCTGCCTCTGTGACTGACAGGTGTTTGATTGGACAGAAGGCGGGTCTCTGAGAGAACAACAACAGGACTGTTACAGAGGGGTAAAAAAATAGAGACAGAGGGATAAATATTATAGATGGAGGCGTAAACTCACAAAAAGAGGTGCACATATTAAAACCACAGGAGTAAATACACAAAAAGAAGGGCAAATATTAAAGTCAAAGGGGTGAATATGGATGAATATACTACCTTCAGAGGAATCCTTGTTTCTCTGTCTCCTCTGTGAAGGATAAACTGGTTTTTGTCCAAAGAGCAGCTCACCTCCACCTCATCATCACTGCCATCAGTGAAGTGACTCGTTATACTCTGAAACACATGAAGAAACATGACATCAGTGAGTTCCTGCTAAAGTCCAACACTCTGAACAGTCTGGACTGCTTTAACAAACTCTTTTAGAAATGCTGTCGCTGCACTGACCTGAACAAATTGAGCTTGCTGCGGCGCCGCTCGTTCCTTCCACACGTACACCAGGATCCTCCGGATTTTTTCCATGCTGCGTCTTCCACCAGGATGCCAGTCTGTGGGATCTGAACACATAACCACACCGCTTCCTTAAAGGAACTGATATTTAACTAACATGTGCAGTCTGGTAGAAGCTTAAATTTGTGCAGTCCTGTAATAAATCCTCCCTTCATAGCTACATTGCTCACTTTGTTTTGCTGTATTGTGTATTCTTTGATCCATGTTCCTTCCCAATATGGTTTTTATTCATTCTGTCTGCTCCATATAAACAGTTGTTGTGTGTGTCAAGTTCAGTTCTAGCCCTCTGCAGACACCAGATGAGAGACCATGTGACACTGATGCATTTTTGGTCATTTTTGATAGGGCCCGACCAACATGGATTTTTTGAGGCCGATGCAGATTCTGATATTTGGAGAAAAAAAAATAATAATAATAATCTGATAACCGACGAATCGGCCGATCAATTTAAAAAATATGTAATGAATAAAATAGCTTCTTTTTTAGTCCCTTAAAGCTTACAACAACAAAGATATGAATCACAGACAGAACATTTTACTGTTTTACAATACTCTGTCTTTTAGTATTTGTTTAACTTTACAACAGAGAAGAGTTTCAAGTACAAAAACATTCAACACAGCATCATCAATATGCATCAGTAAAAAAAAAAAAAAAAAAATTCAACACAGCATCATCAATATGCATCAGTAAAAAAAGAAAAAAAAGTTTTCTGTACAAATATGTCTGTAATGTGGGGTATTTTATTTGAAATTTACATTGTGCATTTTTCTTTCTATGGAGCATGCATGAATATAGCTACCAGTTGTACTGATGAATTTATTTATTATATTTAGGCCATAGGTGTATGCAGTATATAAGCAGCATAATGAGTGAAGTTACTGGCAGAACATTATTTATGCAGCCCTCTGATGTTCTGTACTCTCAAAGACTGTGCTGTCTTTAAAGCTGATGAGAAGAAGTTAATAAAAACACAAGTTAAATAAGTTAGTGAAAAAGTTGGATGAAAAGTTTAAAAAGCTGTTTTCTGCAGTTCTCTGAAAACCCGTTAGTGAGTGATCTTACCGCTGTTCGGTTGTAAGCTATCTCAACTCTTCGTCTTCTCCGTGAGCCAAGTTTGACTTGTTTACAACAAACAGTAGCAAAAACGGAGCTTTTCGTGTGTTGCCTTGGAGAGTATTTGTCTTTTTACAAAATCAAATTGTACAAAATTAATGTACGAAAGCGACTGTGACACTTAACAGCATGTACTGTTCTAGGAGAAACTAGGAATATATCAGCGTTTAATCGGCAAAACTCCAGCCAATGATGAGTATTTTTAAAAGGGCTACAATCAGCCGATTTAATCGGCCAGCCGATAAATCGGTTGGGCCCTAATTTCTGAACCCGCAGTGCCTCAATTACAGATGTGTTATTTAGAATACAGCAGTTTCAATACAACATTCAGTCAGAAAAACAACACACAACATGCAAAAAAAATGTCTTTTATACTAAGTTTAAAAAAAAAAAATCCTTACATCAGCGTTGATGTGTTGCTCAGTCCTGGCTGCAAGTAAGAAAATCTAAAGTAAAATAAAAGTATGAGAACCTTAGACTTAAAAATGACTGCTGTTTCTTCCATTATTGGATAGTATTATTCCAAGACACACCTTTACATGTAATAATAACAGTAAATCATCATTAATCCAACAAATTTCAGGGCAGACGGACAGAAAACCGCTGGTCTTGCTGACCTGCACATACTGCAATAGTAATGGGCTACGCATAGATAGAGGGACAACATTATTTTACAGAGAGGACAGTGTCTCACATTTTATATTCAGCTTACACATTATATACATTCAAGTGACCTGGAATAACTTACAATTAATACAAATATCAGGTTAAAATGTAGAGATTTGTGGACTGAGCCCCCAATATGTCATGATCCTGCCAACACCTTTGAGCTGTGTATTTAGTTTCTTTCCAGTCATAAATATGAATAAATATACACCACTTTGAATTACACATCCAAAGCTAGCACATTGCTAAAACAGTATGCAGCTGGTTAACAGGTTAGTCACATTAGAAAGCAACTATATCATGTAAAATGACTTTAAACACATGTTTGTGGATAGTTTGGATAGTGGGCTGGAACTGCTAACTGAACTAACATCCTTTTGCTATCTAATCTCAGTTAACTCATTTTAGTCAACTCAATTCAGTTACCGAATTTAAGCTAACCACTGTCACCTTAATAACTTCTGCTATTTAACTGCAGCTAATGAACTTCTGCTAACTCACTTAAGCTAGCTAAGTTCAACCTGTTAACCTCGGACAACTCATTTCCCACTAACTCCTGCTAACTGACTTATGCTAAGTACGCTGAACTAACTTCAGCCTGTTTACTCCAGCTAACTAGCCTCAGCGAACTGATTTTTGCAAAGTTTAGCTAACTAGCCCTGAGTGCCGTTTTAGGCTTCATTAAGCGTTATTGAAAACACTCTGAAAATGTCGCTTTTCTACATTAACGTCACACATATTTCTGCCACTTTTTAATTGAACAGAGTCGCTCAGAAATACACCAGAAACAGTAGAAACCTACTGAGAGCAGAGCCGCTTCACGCCTTCAGTTCATGTTAGCCGTGCTGCTCTTCTTCTTCTTGAGCTTTATTGTCGGTTCTCAAACAACGTACTGGTGCTTCATCGCCTCCTGCTGGTTGAAAGGTGAATCGGCGCTTTTACTTAGATACTGAAACATGACTTGATAGGAGTCATTTTTTTCAGTAGTTTCAGATCGATAATTCCAAAATTGTACTTGACATTTTATGTTTCTGCTCTGCTGTTTTTCCTTTCCCACAGCAGCCACATCCATCATGTTTCTCTATTTTAAAAATGAAATCAAAATCTTTGTACACAGCTTTAATTAAGTCTGACTTATTATTTTCCTAAAACTCACCTGGTTTATGTTTTGGTTGAATCAGAGCAGTTTTGACAGGACAAGGAGAACCTGTACAAGGCTTTAATGTTGTGGCTGATGTGATTTTAAGTCCCCACACACAATGAGAATTCAGAGACAAGACTGAAGTAATTTTGTACCTTGTAATAGTGATTGAGCAACCTGCAAAATACACCAGCTTCGATATAAAGGTCACCTGAAGTATATAATAGGAGTGCTATCATGCTATTCATGCTGAAACCCAACATGTCATAAACTTCTCTGTGTATGTTGACTAATTTTGGCAGCGCACTGTTGCAAAACTACCAGACTCCCTTTAAGAAAAGTGCAGTTTTATTGCTGCTTTGCAAACAAGCAATAGATCTATTCTGTGAAAAGCATTAAGTCTTTCTTTATTTTTAGTGTCAGCTGGTGAATTCAGCATTCAAATTAAATGTATTAAAGAACCTAAAAACTGATGTAACACACATTTACCTGATAATTTTGAAATATTACGCTGAAGACTCTACAAGGTTTTACATGGAAAACCCAACAAACCCAATGACTTCCTTGAAAAAAAGTGCAATTTTATTGTTGTACTGCAAACAAACAATAGATACAAAGTGTGAAAAGCATTCAGCGAGTTATTCGTCCCTTCTAGTATCTTCTGGTAAATTCTGAATTCAAATTAAATGCATTAAAAGGTGGAGTCTTTGATTCTACAGTCTACATACCTCTATCACTCTCATGCTGGGATATAGTTATGTGGATCAGTCAGAGACACTTTATGTTTCCAACACCAGATTATAATCGCTGACACCACCTTTTTTAAATTTATCTGAGTAAGAATGAATCTTTAAAGGTTGGTTCATGCTGTTTGACACCACTGTAAGTGGTACCTATGTTTCATTTCTACAGGGCGTTACATGGAGTCTTTATCGTCAGGTTCATATCAAAGCACAATCACAGAGTTACCCGCTACAACAAAACCACCTGGTTAAGAGCAGAGAAAGAAGATTACAGAAAATAATGACAGACAGAGTTGAAGTATGGATGTATTCTGCCGTAGTTCTACTGTAGTATTTGAAGTGGTATTAAGAGGTTCTGTCCTCCGCTTTCAGGCCAACGCAGGATAACGGTCTTCCTCGACGTCGCTGTCCAACAGAGCGCCGTGATCATCCACCTCCACCTGCAGGTCAAACCAAAAATTCATCATCATCTGCAGCTAAAGGGCTGTTCTGTCTGTGTTTAAATTAAAAATAATAATAACAAAAGAAGAAAATACATTTTTAAAAAAGAAAAGAAAATTAATAAATAAAAATATATTGTAAAAATAATAATCTAAAAATTGAGAAAGTTTCAGGTGACTGCAGGGATTGCACACAGAGTCAAGAAAAGACAAGTATGTAAATTGATTAAAATTTAAGTAAAAAATATAAAGTATGTAAAGTCAATATTAATTTTATAACACTGGTAAAAGAAGTGGATATTTGGGAAAATGTTTGATATGTCTCCAGGTTTATTATGTTTTTTATTTTTTGAAAATTTAGAAGAAAAAAATGTTTTTTTTGTTTTTTTTTAAATGATTTCTGCCTTTCTAACTGTGCTATACTGCATAAAAGATGTTTCTGATGGAAGGGGGAGTCTAATCTCCGTCATCTCTGCTTGAGACGGCAACAGCTGGAATAAAGACTCTTACCTTGATCGGGGAGTAGTGTCGGTGGAGTCTGATGGCTTTTCCACTGAAAACACAAACGGTGATGGCGACACAAACTTGCAGGACGAGCAGAACCAGGAGGAGGCCGAAGAGGCTGCCCACCAGGCGCTGAAACAGCAGTGAACACAGTCTTCAGTTAGGGTGAATAAACGTTCTGCAGACTCCAAAGTTGGCAGCAACTTCGCTGTCTGATTATGTTGTTTGAGGCTCGTGGGCCGGAGCTGCGACAAACTTACTTGCAGAAACCACACTTTGTCCATGCACTGGGTCGTCACAACATCGGGATCTCTGTAGTCCCACAAGCTTTGTGGGTCACAGGTCACGTTGCTGACTTTGCGGACGGCCATCAGCCAGCAGACATAGGCTGAACACGCCAGGCCGAACAGCACGCTGATCACGTGGGATACCAGACACGCCCAGACCTGCAGCCAACAAATGGAGTCACATTGAGCTCTGATCCACAGACACAAACCTTCAGATTATTTTCTCTGCTGCACAGTTCTCCTGATGTTAGAGGCCAAAGATTGTACTTTTAGTAGAAAATATGAATACATCCACATTTATACACTTACATGAACTTCCTGTGGCCACAATACCGCCTTCATTTGAAAACAAAATTGCATTTTTTTTCTATTTTCAAGGGCAAGTAATTTAAAATGTGTCCTCTCCTGCAAACTATCCCGTCTGTGTCCTCACCAAACATCATGCCTGTGGAAGGTAAATATCTGGAGATACTGAACTGCAAAACTGGATTCCCAGTTTTTATAACAGTGCAAATACAAAAATTTCAAGCTCTGAACACGTGAAATTCTTCAAAATCAGCCAAAATGTTTCATAGAACGCAGATTGAGTGAACGGACGCAGATTGACTTGGTTTTCTGATATGTTTTAAGGTTCTCAATAAGCATATTACTTGATTGCTTTTAAATAACTTTGTCATTATTTTATAATTCAGTGTTTTTCATTTTTTGCCTTTTGTTGCTCAAATCGTTTCTAACCATCTGTTGTCTTTATTATTATATTTTTCTTAAGTAGGTTTTATTACATTTTTTTGACAGCTACCTAATGTTAAAGTTCGAGTTACGTCTGTAAAACTACCAGTCAGAATAATTCAAACACCAGAAGTACAAACAACTTTAGGAGAGACGTCAGCCACTTTGCTGCCTGACACGTCCAATCAGAGGGATTCAGATGCTGCTGGCGGATCACTTAAGCCAATTTAAATGACTCAGAGATATTTTTCATAAGAAAATCTGAAATAAAACATATTTGAAAACAAGAATTGTTGCAAAATGTTTTATGATTTTGTCAACAAATAAAAACTAAATACCAAAGAGTTATTTCTCTGTCCTTCAAAACCCACCAGGTTTGAAAGGCAAGTTAACTTTACTATAAGTCATCAAAACGACAACAACTATCAGCCAGAAACTGTAAAAATTGAAAAAAATCATCAGATTTTAAAATTTGCAACTGAACTACTCCTCTGTGATGTGATGATCCATAAGGAAAATGAACTTAATTCAAGCTTGAAATCCTGATTTTTTTTTTCAAATTATTTATTTTTAGAAACTTTTTTTGTCAACAAATACAACAACTAAATAACAACATATTAACCCTCTGTACCCCCAAATCCATCAGGAGGTTTAAAAGGAATATTCACAAATATGAGCTTTAATTGATAACATTTCATCAAAATCACGTTGTTCTGCAGGTATAATCTAAAAATTTGTCATGAAGAAATAATTTGCTCAAACTAGATTCTGTAAAAAAAAAAAGAAATATTTTGAGCTTCACAGCAGAACTGAGAAGCCACGACTGACTCTGTTGTGACAAACAGTCACACGACAAGAATTGTCAGAGTTTTCCGATGAGCTGCAGGCAGTGTGTCCACAACGCAGAGAGGTGACAAAGTAAAACGTAACGTAAGAAGTAAAATCTTGATCGTATGTGAAGTCACTATTTTTTCCTGCTCTGGTGTTCAGCCGGATAATTTACCAGCTGTTTAATGACTATTTGATTAATCTACATGCTTTTGTAAAATAGCCAGTTTATTTAGATTTTTGAGCTTCATGAGTATATTTAGTAGCTACATGGACTAAAGATATTAAAAATTTCTCCCCATTGATGAACAAACAACACAGAATAACACAAAATATGGTGGCGGCAACTTTTAGTGTACAATCTGTGTTTGAAGGTTAACAAAAAATGACGCCCTCATTTGAACTTTTATATGTAATTCGAAGGTATTTATAAAGAATACTGGAAGTTTGAACTTCCAAAAGTCGGTATTTGCCTCAGAAATCCAATGTGTAGTTAGAATAACATAGTGAAAATAAAACAAACGGCAGATTTGTCTACAAGCAGAATGAATGGAAACAGTGTTGCTGGACAAGTTTTGAAATAAATCAAGTTCTAACTTGAGCAAGGGCTTTTACTTTTCTCCAGCAAACACTGCTTTCACACTTGTTTGGTTGACTCTGGTTCGTCTCCTCCTCTGTGTAACTCTGTCCTGTGCAAACATGTATGAGCCTGAACATTTACGGGACACTGGACCTGAGTTTGTCTGTTTAAAGAGCTCAGGCTGAGGACGAACACCGAGACGTGATGAGATATTCACTGACTCTGACAGAACATGTCAGAACAGAATTGCAAACTTCACCTTTAATCAAAGTCCTTTAGTCCTTATTCTTTTTTTTTAAAAAGACAAATAAATATGCATTTTTCACCTTTCACATGATAACTTGAGGCGTGAAAACTCACCAGGCTGATTGAGGTCCCTCTCCTCGCCGCCACCGCCAGAGAGCCGGAAATCACAAACTGAAGAGCAGCACAGAGACACGTTTGTGTAAAAACTACGTCTGATTGTGGATCTTTTCATTATTGGATCGTTCCACCTCATATCAACATTTTTTGAACACAATTTCTGCTTGACCATCTCTGATTTATTTAAACATTTTGAATTCACATTTAGAAAAACATCTGCAAAATTTTTCAGTTTCAAATACTTACTTTTTTTTAAAATTGCCCATTGACCCACTTTCAGCAGATTTCTTCACACATTGAAATTTGAGGTTGCTTGAACAACAATATCTTAGAAACTATAAAAGATGAAAGCCTGAAATGTTCACTGTTATTTCTCATCATGTCATTGACTCAGAATCTCAATATTAAGTTGAATGAATAAAAAAAACATTCCTGTATTAACAAAGTGAGGTCTAAAAATGAAAATACGCCCATATTAAAAACTGTTATTTTCTTAGTTGTACTTGAAGAACTAGTTTGAAACTCCAGAACACACCTGCCCCATCAGTAATTAAGAAAAGCTTAACAAACAAAAAAAAAATGTTTTTAATTTTTTTTATCCAAGTATTTCATGATAAAAGTATTCTATACGATTTGTTTCATATTATTGTGATGTGCAGCTACATATGGTTCAGGAAATGTCACATGTTGACGTCTGCGTCATCAGGTTTTTGGTAATGTGAACTCAAAAATGAGACTTTATATGACAGATTCAGTCTTTTCTTTCCATGTTTCAACTCACCCACAATCAGGATTATTTGATCTACTTGTCTAATATTGCAGATTCTCAATCATTGACACGATGAGAAATAACAGTGTAAATTTCTGGCTTTTATCTTTAATAGTTTCTGAGATGTTTTTGTTCAAACAGCCTCAAATTTCAGTGTGTGAAAAAACCTGCTGAAAAGGGTCGATAGACAGTTTTTAAAACATCTTTTCACTGCAAGAACTTGATATATCAAGCTTAAATTTCACAAATAAAAAGTTTCAGAATCCTTCTGATAATCTGAGAGAAAATAACTGTTTTAATCAGGGTTGCGTTTACGTACAGTGACGGCGAAGCACAACGGAGCGGAGACCAACATGTTTGGAGACAAGAGGGCAAACCCGCTGAACATGACACACACCAGGCCGATGCAGATCTGAACAATCTGAAAACACACACAGACAACACACCGACTGTCAATGCACTTTATCAGCTCTTTCAGCAGATGTGATCTGCGTCAGAACAAGTTTCCGTGATTCTGAAATCAAGACAGAATCAGAGTCAGAAAGCTTTTTGTCTATTTGTGGTAATAAAGCAAAGTCCTTTCTAACGGAACTATCTGCTGAGGAAGATCATGTGGCTCAGTCAAAAGCTTCAGAACTCCTTTTTGTTTTTTTTAAATCAACACCAAAAATAACATTTGGAAATTGGGGGCTGAAGAAATAATAAATCAAGTAAAGCACATTAAAACAGAAAAACAACTCAACTGAAAGCCGTTTGTTTACTTTTCTTCTTCCTCTTATCATTATTATTATTTACATGAAGCAAGTAGCTGAATTCTCTGTTAGCAGCTGCTGTTTGTAATGAAGCCACAGATGTTCTAATCGGATCACTGTGAGGCTGAGGAAAGCTTACAGCGCCTCTTTTCTCTAATTTCATTGTAAATTTACTGAAGATATTTCTGGATGGACATCAGAGGTATTGACATCAGAATAAGTCCCACTGAATCTAGAAACATGTGTTTCATGTCTGTGTGTTCAGATTTACAGAGTTATGACTCTGAGTAGGACGATTTTGGATACTAACAGGATCTGTGTGTTTCTGAGTGTTTTAACACTAAATATTTGAGGGTCTCTCACCCCGAGGTTCATAGGCGCTCCCCGCAGGAAGGCGGTGGTCATGTTGTCCACCTTGGCGGGAGTCTTCTTGGCAGGGGGCGGGGCCTTTGTGGCAGGGGGTGGGGCCTTTGGTGGTCCATTGTCAGGAGTCTGAAGCGGGATGAAGTTCTCATCCTTGGGAATGACTTGAGTGACTACCACCATTCCACCGACAGTGGTGATGGATGTGGACGGGGTCGTCATGATGAAGCTCAGAAGGAATTCTGGGAAAACCAAAAGTGCAAACAACATCAGGAGACACAAAAAACTACAAGTCCCAGAGGGCTTTGTTGTGTGACACCCCAATTCAGAAAAATTCTGATGCTGTTGGCCAATCAACTAAACCAACGTGAACTTTTGCAAAAAAAAAACATTTGTAGATGTTTTTTAGAACTTAACTCAATGAAACATATTTCAAAACAAAAAATATTACAAAGTGTTTTACAATTTCATCAACAAATTAAACTTCCTCTGAACCCTAAAACCTGACAGAAGGTTTGAAAGGCATGTTAACTTTAAAAAGAATCATGTAAATGATTCGTTCATCAGACAGGAACTGCAAAACAGACAGAATCATCAGACTTTTAACAGTGAAAACATGCTCTTAGGTAATTATTTATAATCTATTTGTTTATTTTTGGTTCATGGATCTTTGTAGTTTAGGAAACTATACCAAGCTAGTAGAGTGAATTAGCTCTGCACATAGCTCAGCATGTTTGTGTAAAGGTTGCACAAGGTTTGAGGTATACACTAGAAGATATGCTGCCATACCTAAAAGGGTTTTTGTCTTGAAAGATGAACTCAGCTTGTCTGATATGAGATGGAAACTGATCACTGGGGTAAACGTACAAACTATGTATACGGTCTAATGAAAAGGAATTTCTGATTTTCTGTTCACGATAAAAGCTGTTAAGATTTGTGCCTCTTCTTTAAGAATCTGGATTAACTCTGATCTGATCCAGCAAAGTGTTTTGTAAGTTCGAAAATCATAATATGTGACATTGCACTCCATCAGGCAAATAAACCAAATCTAAGCTTTGAAAAAATCACATCTCATGTAAAAATCATCAAAAAAATTAAAAATAAACCATTTGAAAAAAACACACACATCCTGTTAAAAAATTAAAAATTCTAAGCTCCTCTGTGCAACCGAGACTGATTTAGCTGTGACCAACAGTAATGTGACACAAATCAACAAAAATTTTCAGATAAACTGCAGGCAGTGTTTACTTTACCTTTTCTCAGTGTTGGAAAAACCTGTGGACACGTGAAAAAAAGTTGCACATGTTGATTCCAGCTTAATTTTTTTGTCAAATAAATAATCAAACAAATTCAACTTTAGTTTTTTTTATTTCCTGATCTCTGTCATTTTGACCGTGTCATACGGCACAGAAGACGATTCTGAGTTCTCTTTCCTTTTTGCAATCAGCCAGAATTCTATATTGCCATGAAAAATGAGCACACCCTGTAGAAAAATGTGGCAGAAGTAAAAAAAAAAAGAAAAGAAAAGGCCAAACAACTGCTCATTGTCACATACACATTTAAAGGGTTCACCACCCCAAAGGAACGAGGACAGAAGAATAAATCCAGCCTGTATGTTTGCTGACTCAGCAGGGATCATATGAAAATAGGGAACTAATGTTTGAAAGCAACATCCGGGCATTACTGCATTATAATCCATTGTATCTGAATAGTTTGTGTTTTGCTTGACTTGAATAAAGGCATTTCTTCTATAAATTACTACCCACTTACTGTGTCCTGCCCAAACAAAATTTGTGTCCATGTCTTAATATTAATGTTTTTGGATAAATTTAATCTTTACACATTTGCCAAAGTTGCCAGCAAACTCAACTAGGTCATAAAAGCTCCTGAATGTTGCTCCAGTTTGCATCTACATCTTCTGATGAGCAAAGAAACCTTAAAGTGCCCCAATTTAAAATGGAGTCTGGTTTGGGGTTTTGTATCATCTCGTCAGCAAGTCTACAGAATGACTGTACGTTTCCCTATGAATAAATGTAATTTAAATCCATGTACCAACTAAAAGAGCAAACAAACATTAGGAAAACATAAATGATCTTGAACATTTCTCTAGCATGTGTCTACATCTACACATGAGTAAAGAAAACTTAAATACTATTAATTTCAAGGGGAGTCTGGTATGGAGTACTGTACAGCACAATGAGGAAGCGCTAATTCTAACAGAGTACCAGCTTATTTTGCTTAAACGCTAAAAGTTGGTTCTTTATTATTACACAAGTATGATAATAAAACAGTTCCTAAAGCCTGATCGGTCACGTTGATATAAGCAAACCAAGTTTATAACCGTGTGCCGAATTTATCAGCAAACCATATTAAGTCCTAACAGCTCCTCAGTGTTGGTCCAGCAGGGATTTATATCTTTGAATCAACAAAGAAGCCTTAAAATCTGTGAGTTTTAAATTGAGTCTGGTGGTGAGGTTCTAAAGCTCACGGTAAGTACGTAACAACTTCTGGTGAATTTCTGATCATTTTTAAATGAATAAATCAAATTTAAATACATATGCCGAATTAACCAGAAAACCTTCATGAGTCATAAAAGCTCCCGTGTCTGTCTCTAACAGGTTTTTATATCTTCTAAATAGCAAAGAAAACGTAATTTTTCCGTAAATGTTTAATAGAGTCTGGTATGGGGTGCTAAACTGCAGAACGAGGAAGTGCTCATTCTAAGACAATACCTGCTCCTTTTACTTATGTGCTAAAATTCGGTTCTTTAATATTGCACAAGTGTTATAATACAACACCAAAAGTCCCACTTTTTTGGTATTAAAGACAGTAATCTTAAAAAACAAGCCGCTGCTAGCTTAACAACTGGGAAATGTAGAATGGCGCAGTTACTAAAATATCGCAATTACTGATCCAAGAAGGCAGATTAAAGTAAAAAAATCTCTATACAAACCGTCAAAAATAAACATTTAAAATGTTTCTGTGTGGTGTAAAAAATTTACCTGCACTTAAAATGTCAGTTTTCAGGCGCAGACAGACGCGGAAGTTCCTGAAATGAACCTGATCCAACTTCCAACTGTTTGGGGGAATTGTGCCGCCTTCAGGAGCTCCGCGTAAACTCGTAAATCGAACACATGCTGCTTTCTGATTAAAATGAAAGCAAACATTTAGAATGATAATATTAACCATCACCAATCAATCAAAATTGATTCAAATATCGCAACTGGAAAGCATGAAAAGAGTCAAAAAGGGCGTAATTTTCATAACTAAGGTTGCGAGCAGTGCAGCGTGCAAATGCGATTACAGGCCGTCGACTTCCCTGACTTTAAAATTCCGATAACACTCGAAAGCAGCAGTCATCGCTTCTCACGGCATCATTTCCGAGAATCTACGTTTAACACCCGATTTATTGTTGTTGAAAAGACACACAGCAAACACAAAATACCCGCCCAAAAGTGCAGCAATGAATAAAGAAGGAACAAAAAAAGGAAAATGAAGAAAAATACAGACAAAACAAAAGAAGAAGAAACAAAAAATGATAATAAAAGAAATGAAGATAAAAATAAAGATAGAAAAAAAAATCCAAAGGTCAGGTGATCAGATTCAAGTTCTGCTATGCAAATCATAAACTTTTTTTAATTTTGTAATTTTTTTTTACATGTACTGTTATTGTACAGACTGTCTTTGTTTTGGTATATTACAGACACTAACTAGTAAATCCTGAGCAAAGTTACACGTAACCACTAATATATATATATATGTGTGTGTGTGTGTGTGTGTGTGTGTGTGTGTGTAAATAATGTCCACATCAAAAATCTGTATTTTTACAAGTGGTAATTATTTCTTTTACAACTTTTGACCATGAACTTATACTTCTTTTTGCTGTATTCAAATCAGAAATATTAACAACAACAATAATAATAATGATGATAATAAGGGGCTGCAGGGTGGCGCAGTTAATTAGCACTGTTGCCTCGCAGCAAGAAGGTTGCCAGTTCATGTCCCCGTGCAGCGTGGGTTCTCTCCGGGTAAAAATATGTACACCAGGGACTGCTATTTTTTTTTTTAAAACTTAGACTTTGACTTTTTTGTTTCATTAGAGATAATCTGAAGTCACACAAAAAAGCATTACATGTTGACCATAAAAAATGCAAATAATGTTCACATATTCTACCAATCGTCATTAGGTTTTTAACAGTGTATGACAGTAAAATGATGGTTTTACACTGCACCTTTCACTGTTAAATCAATTTTAAAAATATGATTGTTTTACAGATTTGTACATTATTTTCCCAACTTTCAGTTTTTGAAGTATCCCCAGTTTTAAAGAATATAGTTTTACAGCCGTATTTACACACAATTTTTTTTTTGCATTAGGACTTATTTTAAAATTATAGCAACGCAAATGCACAGTTATTGATATTTTTCCTTTGTATTTGTCAAGAACTCACTCAGATCAGAATAGCTGGACACAAATGCTCGACACAGAAAAGGTTCAGGCCAAAAGGCAGGTTTATTACTGGTCAGGGTTGGGTACACAGAAGGTCAGTCAAATCAGGCAGAGGTATCCAAAAAGCGAGAGGCGAAAGGCAAGGTCCAAAAACAGCAGCAAGGTCGTAACAAAACAGACTGTGACTATGGCTTGAAGAACGCTGGTACGAAGACTGTGAAAGTGTGATGAGACAGTTATTCGACAGACAGACTGTTCTTCTTGCCAGATATATGTCAAAATGCAACATTAGTTTGTCCCTAATGCAGCTCTCGGTTTAACTTTGCTGCATGTGTGTGTTCAGGTGGTCATGAATTATGAAACATTGCCTTTATTAAGTTTATTCAAGGTTATCTTTAATGACTTAACAAAATTCTGGGGCCAAAAATGCAGAGATTAAACTAAGATTATGTATGTGAGTATGTGTTAGACAGGCAGCGACACTAGATAGTCTTTATAAACATGTTTATTAATCCTTTGTTACATTTATTGAACCAGCAGATGACGGCGTGTTTTTATCTCGTTTTGGTGCATTTTCACCACAAGGAGCTCACAAACGTATTAAAGCTGTTTGAGCATCAGTGAAAGGAGAAGCTTTTACATCTGTGACAAAAGTAATTACAGAGAATTACTCTATAAGAGCAAAAAAAAAAAAAAAACCTGTAAAGTTTTCATTGCTGCAGTTATTGTAAAAGAAAAAAAAAAACTCAAAAAACTAAACTTAACAAACTTGAGGCACAATACCTGTGTGTTCTGGAGATTCTGGATCATTATAAGGATCAATAAAACACATTCAAGACTGAGGCACTAACAACAAATGATGTCAAATCAATAAATTGGGACACAACTTCCTAATATATTTAAAAAAAAAAAAAAAAAAGCTATTATGCAGCATGTTCACCTTGTGTAATTTTAATTTGCGTCACAAGAAGGCGACAGAGCGAAAATTACACATGAAGAAATGATTAATTTCACTTATTAATAAAAATCTCAAGCACAATGATATTGATTGTTATTGATAGTTACTGATAAATGTCTGATACATTCACAGCAGGTGCCAGATCTCACCTGCTTACATTCATTCATCTAAAATACAAATACATCAACAGACAGGATGTAGAGCCCTGATTTCCAAAATTCATATAAAATATCCATAACATTTACTCACAAAAAACAGCTTATGCATCCCCACATTGTTTCCAGATGCCACTATATTCTGCTTAAACTAAAATTGAATTATTCCACATAATTTTTTTCCTGAGAAACATGCAGAAAGATTCTGTGCAGGACATGTCCAACTTCCACAGTCTTTGTCTGCGTGAATAAAACTAACACAATAATAATATAATCCTCAAATATCACAGCTGTAAAAAAAAAAAAAAAAAAACTAATGTGCATCTTTGCAAAAATTCTAAAGAACTAAAAAGAAGTTTAAACCTTTTGCTGTCATAAGAAGTCTCTCGTAAAAATGTAACAATGTCATGCTGAGTCATACAATAACATGAAAAATGAAGATGTTTTTTAGAATGGAGCTATTGATGATTTTTTATTTAATCTAAATATCAGTTTGGTTTCAATAAACACAAAAGCTCACTAATGAAACAGATGTAAAGTTGTAATTTTGTCTTTTTATGCAGCAAAAGTGAAATGAGTGTAAAACATGCAGTGGAATGAAACCAAAGAATCTCAAGTTCAGTTTCACTACATTAATAAGGCAGAACAACAACAACAACAAAAACAAACACCAGTTATCAACAGGGGAATTCCTGATTAGATTATTCATATCAAGAACTAAAAGACCCTGAAACTCAAGACATATCAGGAATACTTCCTTTCTTTAGAGGCGTCAAAATCAGCAAGCAGTAAATAGCAGGTAAATGAAAGGCTCACATTTTTTGTTTTCCTGCTGAGTTTCCCATTTCTCGCTTTTTAACTGTTAAATTCAATATATATGTCAGGGTTGGTTGGTGATGTCGGCTACACATTTATGTCCATGTACAAAGGTGGCATCACCTACAGATCCTCAGTTTTATTTCACTAAATACTCCACTGTGCTTCAGAAATGGTCTGATCTGGAAAATGCAGCCCACTACCCAACACTAGCCAGTGAACTAACATTGTTGTATGCATATTAGCTTTCTGGAGAATGTTAAGCCGTATATTAAAGGAACACTCTTTTTGTGAAATCCTCCTAATGGGACTTCCTCTGAGTTTAAAGAGAATATGGATTTCTGGGTGTCCTACAATGCAGAAACAGGAACACAAGCTAAAACTACTGAGTGAGCAGCCATTTAATTAAGATTTAGCTAGCTAGCAGCTGAGTGCCATGCTTTCTCAAAGGTGATGTGGTTTGCTTCAAGCTAACACAATACCAATCCTAACTTAGGTGGAAATTGTGCGGCTTAGGACAGCCTGAACCTTTGTGGATGTTTGGACCACAAGAACTATCTCCATAGAACCTCTTGGAGAAAATCACCTACTTCAGCATAGGTATATCTGAGTGGCCCTGAAAAAACTCTGCTGTGCAGGTCTCAACACTGGTTGGTCAAACTTGGACAGGACAATCAATGCAATTTTTTCTGTCATCTTAATGTCCAGTAACCACTATTGGTCGTTGTTTTGTTGCAATCATGACTTAACGTTGGGCTAAAAACTGTTGGAACAACAAAATGGAAACTGAAAGGCTGAAAGGACTGATTAGAGGGCTGTTTGTGTAAATGTTGACGCCAGCTTACACCTGCCCAGGGAAACTTAAGGTCCAATTTATGACAACCCCAACCATTACATATGTTTCAAATGTAGAACCTCTTTCAGGGCTGTTTGAGGTAGAAAATAGGACCTAGTTCAGCATGGTTACTTCTGGGGTCACTGAAAAACTGCTGAGTGGGGTTTAACACTGATCGGTTTCACTCGAAGAAGAGTACGCTGATTTGTTAAATTTGGAGTGGACAATGAGTGATATTTTTCTGCTTTCTCATTGTAGTTGTCGAAGCTGTCAAATCCAACACCACCATAGTAACAAAAGGCTAAAGGGCTGACTTTAGGGTCTTTGCTGTAAGCACTGGTGACCCGAGTATCTGCAGTGGAAGGCAGCCTGTTGTTAGTTCACCACCTTCAGTTCAGGAGCAGGATCCTCTGGGCTGCTCAGAGAGCAAATCTCCAGAGACTTGTTGGTTTTGCTGTCATCCTCTGGACTGATCAGACGATTCAGCGTGAAGCCAGGTTTCGGCTTTCGCCATATTTGGAGCAATCCGAGCATCAGGATGCAGATGCAGATCGCCAGCAGGATGGAAACTCCAACCAGCTCGCTGTAGTAGCTCTTCTCTTTAGGAGTATCAACACTGGATTCCTGAGAAGACCTGGTGCTGGTTGTGGAAGTCAGGTTGATGTCCAAACTGTTGTTGTTTAACAATCTTGGATCTTCTTTGTGTAAGTTGGTCTCATCTTTCAAAGTGGTTGAAAATGTATCTTGTTTGTCCTTGGTGTCAGAGTCCTCTTTGTCTCCTGAAGGTTGTACCACAGAAGTCACCGTTTGCTCAGTTGAAATGTCCTCATAAGACTCGTCCTTGCCCTCATGCACTGGCTGTTCATCTTCTGTTTGCTTTGGGCTAATGGAGCGTGGAGGGGCGGTCTGTTGGATATTATAGCTCACAACGACTTCCTTGTACCCGCCTTCCTCTGCCTCACAACGGTACGTCCCGAAAGTGTTGGCGGTGGCGAGGAAGCTGAGGCTGCCGTCAGCTGATCGAATGAAGAGTTTCTCTGGAAGACTTTTGAATCGAGGGGAGGTCCAGGTAAGAGTGGCCAGGTTGGAAGGTTTTAGACACTGAAGCTTCACCACTTCGTTCAAATGAAAAGTGATTCCTGCAGAAAGAAGGAAAATACAAGTAATAAGAAAAAAGTCTTCACTTAGTGTACAAGGATGAAGGTTAAAACTCCAAAATGTCACATAAAGATCAACGATTGAGTTAATTCAATAACATGGATCTAAAAGTTGTTTGATATATTCTTCAGACCTGTAAGCACAGTTATTGTCTTTACTGAGACAGATATTACCTGTGTCCACAACAGCCTTGGTTTCTCCTTGACATTCCTCTTCTACATTGCCACCCTGCAGGTTTTGAACCCTGAGGAATAAACCGACAGTTTGTCAGGCACAAGAAGACACATTCGACAGTTGGAACAGCATCAGATGTGACATGCAAACTGCGCCTGTAGCATCAAACACATTTTAAACAAATCTTTAGATTCCAGTGAGATAAGAATGGATAAATGCACATGTTAGGCCTCAAACAAAGAGAAGAAAAACAAAATACATTTCTTTGATTTACGCTGCATTAGAAAACCTTTGTTTTTTCAGACATGGGTGGGTGTTAAGTGAACTGTAGTCAGCACCCTGTTGCTCATGCTCTGTAATTCGGATGAGAGCGAATATCAAAGACATCAGCCAGACAGTGACATAACAAACATGACACTAATTGACCAACAACATGTCGATGGAGGAGGAAACTAAAGTTACCGTGGCATTGTAGTTTCATTATGTTTCAATAAATTATATTTAACCCTCCCGTCAAATATTTTTTGACTTACGTGTGCAGCTAAGTCTGAATGTGCAGGACTATAGTTTGACAAAAATCATGCTTTTTGAAATAGAATTTATTAAGCTTGCTGGCTAGCACCATATAGGGTAGTGACGCTGAACTAATCCATTGTTGTTGCATGAAATGTTGAATACATTTCTTTATTGTATCGGCATTAACTAGTTAGTCAGCTTTGTCAATCACTGTGTGTCTAGTTTTCTCTGAGAGGCTTAGCAACATCAGCTTAGTTACATTTGTGAGATTATATCTAAGGATATCTTGATTGATTTCTTTTTTGCTCCTGATACGATCTGAGTCATTTAATATTAAGCACCTGCCACAAGTGAGTCCCTACATAATACATATTTGAAATGTGTGTTGTAGATCAGAGGCTTCACCTCTTAATGTTTAATGCTGGAGCGCCGCAAGGAGGTGGCCACTCACTAGTTATGTGTTGGCCAGCAGAGACTGTTGTCAGGGTTCAACAAGTAAAGGGGCACCATCACAAAGTCTTCTGTGAGGCTTAATGATCTCTGAGTCCAACTGAGGTAGTGTTGTTGTATCCCAGTGACACATGTAACAGCTGCCTTCATGTAGCGTAGTGTGTGTCTGCAGCAAAGGAGGTTGCATTTATAGGACCACATTTCTAGAACCCATGTTTGTAACATCAGCACTACCTGTCAAACCAGGTGATAGCTAAAGTACACGACTTTTTAATTTTTGTTCCACCATAAATACTATTTTCTCTCGAAGTACCTAAAGTTAAAAGGTTTATTCCATCCAAAGACTACACTCCATCTTACAAGTTATGGGTTTAAAGGTTTATTCCACCCAAAACTGTAGATAGGTAATTTTTTTGCTTGCATTTGGAGTTAGTAAAAAAAATGTAATTAAAGTTATTAAACAAGGAATCAGGCTAGAGCGACACTGACATGTTCTCATGACTGCCGTCCAGACGGGTGCAGAGCTTCCTGGTCCGACTCCATCCACACAGTGGATCTCTGGCCAGAACACACTGATTGCAGGTCCGGTAGATGGAGCAGGAGGCCACAGGGACAGCAGTCACGCCCTCAGAGGTTCCCACGTACAGAACTCCCTGCAGAAACACACTCTTTAATGTACATCCAACCTGACCAAAACACTGAACTGATCATCATTTTATTTCTCACTTTGGAAAGAAGACTTTTCTGCCACTGTCATTTGTCTTGTTCTATGCACACTCTCCGACTTTCACAGCTGTTGCCTTTATGCAGATGACACATCACTGTTCATTTCTGCTTAATTTGATTTTTATCTTGTGAGTCATGGATGCGCTGTATAGATGAGTAACAGCTTTGTGAAACTGTATGATGACAACATCTCTTCCTTACTGTAAATCATGATGATTTTTCTTGATTTTAACATTTGTCATGCATGTGAAACCATCGTTTTCATATTTTGATAAAATGTCAAAATATATTTATTTCAACATTAGAAGGGACAAATTAATCCTCTGAAACCCAAAACCTACTAGCTGGTTTAAAAGCTATGTTGTTGAAGAAAAAAAAAAAAGAAAAATGACACCATTTATCCACCACAAACTGTAAAAGCTGTCATGTTGTTCTGCCACAGAATTTAACTAAAACTAAGCTCGAAATCCGAATTTTATTTCTCTAAATCTTCTTTTCTTGATTAGTGCTCATTTATGGATTAACTCTTTGAACCTCAAAGCTGTTTGTGGGCGTCATTTGCTCATCTCACAGTTTTCCTCACTGGGGACTCATTTGTCACTACATTTTTCACACTATATATAGTCCTGCACCTCTATAGAAACAACACAACCATGGCTAGAAGGAGAGAGAACTCAAAAATGATTTCTGTACAATATGACATAGTTAGAGTGACACAAATCAAAGAAACAAAAGAAGTTGAATTTTTGTGTTTATTATTTCTTAGAAAAAAATGAAAAAACAAACAAGCAAAAAACATTGTCTGCACTGGAAAAACTCAATGGTGGCACTCTTATCTCCACTCTGTATAAACACAGCCTGCAGTTTAGCTGAAACGTCACAGCTGAGTCCTTAATAGCTTGCAATGAGAAGTGTAGAGCTGAATTAAATTCTTGCTTGATAAAAATTCATCAAATGTTGGATGCAAGCAGCGAAACTGAATTAAAGGGATAAAATCCTTGGTATAAATCTTAAAGCATGATTTTTAAACATACAGTGGTCCTCTAATGTATTCATACCCTCCATTAAAGAAAAGGCAAAATTCACAATAGCCACTCAAACAACTAGAAACTGCAAAATGGAATATAGATAAAAATGTGCTAAATTGTAATTTAGTGAAAAAAGACACTGCTTTTGGGTTGTGGTCGGTAAAAAACAAAAAAACAAAAAACACTGTCCCAGACAAGTTAGAGCACTTTGCTGATGAGCAGTGGGCCAAAATCTAAATACCTGTCAACAGGTGCAGAAGTCTGATTGAGAGTTACAGAAAACACTTGATTGCAGTGATTGGCTCAAAGGGTTGCTCAACAAAACATTAGTTTATGGGTCCCATCATGCTGTTTTCTTGTTTGTTTGTTTGTTTGTTTGTTGTTTTTAAAAATATATATATTTCTGTTGAATCATAATTGTCATGATTTTCATTACATTTTTATTTATTATTATTTTTGTCAATTTCAACTTATTTCAGTGACAGCTGTTTTTTTTCCTTCTTTAAGGAGAGGGTATGAATACATTTGAGGACGACTGTATCTGTGTAGTGTGAGGTTCACCTTGGAGGAGGAGAGGACGATGCTTTTGACCAGCTGAGGTTGTGTGAAGACCTGAATCTCCTCAATGACTCGAGGACCTTGATCAAACAAACCCACCTTGTGGAGGAATCCAGACTCTGGACATCAGAAAGAGATGATGAACAATTTTTCAATAAAGATTTGTGTGAGATGCTGCTACAGAATGAGGACATTAATGATGTTTCAGGTCTGTCATCTCAGGATTATCTCTATGAGGCTGCTTTCAGGGTAATTTTACTACCTTTGCTTTAAACCTTCTATCTTAGTCATTCTAAGGACATACATGCTGTATCTGGATTTTTTCTGGGATATTCAGATTTCGCTATAGAATGCTGGCAGTAGAGATGTTTTCAAAAACCGAGAGACATGACTGAACATTTACTACAGAAACAAGCAAAAAAGCTTAAATCTATTTATTTTCATTGTAAATTCAAAAATAGTCAGCAAACAAGACACAACATGTTAATTAGTTAACCTTATATGTGCTTACAGATGGATTTGTTAGATTATGACTGACCCAGGCTAACTGTTTCCAGGATTTATGCTAAGCAAATCTAACATTTGCTAAACTTGGCTTCATATGAGAAATGAGAAGTGTTAATCTCAACATCTAACTCTGAGAAAGGAGTTTTATGAGCATATTGTCCAGATTGTTAAACTATTCCTTTTTCTATTTCTGTATGTGTGACACCTCACCTGTGAGAATGAACAGGACAGTGTATTGTTTGCCATCGACGGCTTGCATCCTCATCACGGCAACACGTTTGTACTGTTGCTCTGAGGAAACGACAATCGGACTTCCTCCGACTGGTCTGACGCTGCCGCTGGTCAGGAAACTCTTCTTCACTTCCATAAGCTCAGAATCTGAAGATTTGTCCAGTTCACACTGTCAGGAGAACACAGAGGCAGAGTCAAATAGAAACATCTGACAACTGTGTTTAATAGTGTTTTAAATAAGTCGGGCTGAGAGTGAAGATAAGTGAGGACAAATGTGGGTCAGAATCAAAACACTCAGGACGTCATTTACTTAGTTTTAGGCCATTTACTGTGTTTTTAGGCATGGACGCCTGGATCCAATCTCAAAGATCAGAATCAGGGCCAATTTTTCATATTCACAGCTAGAAGATCCCAGGTTCACGTCCCAGTGAGGGCACCTGGGATCTTTCTGTGTGGAGTTTGCATGTTCTCCCCGTGCAGCGTGGGTTCTCTCCGGGTTCTCCAGCTTCCTCCCACAAGTCCAAAAACAATATGAGGTTAATTGGTGATTCTAAATTGTCCGCAGGTGTGAATGTGAGTGTGCTTGGTTGTCTGTCTCTAAGTGTAGCCCTGTGATAGACTGGTGACCTGTCCAGGGTGTCCCCTGCCTTCACCCTACGTCAGATGGGATAGGCTCCAGCCCTCCCATGACCCTAGTGAGGATCAAGTATAGATAATGGATGGATTGATGGAAGTGAGTGCCACACCTTCCCCAGGTACGAGTGCTTTTCCGTTAGTGGACTCCACTGGTGGTTCTGCATATTGAAGGTCCTGTAGCTCCCAGTGAACACCATCCTGATGTCCTGCAGCTTAAAGACACACACTGCAGACTCGGGACCTGTGGACCTAAAAGACACCAGACTGTTATTGAAGTCACACTTTGAATACATATTTGCCCTGACCAACCCTGTTAGTGACAGACCAAAAGCTGGAGATGTTGACTTGCTGGTTGGTCCAACACTTTAGCTGCAAGCATCTCAAAACCAGCACATAGACGAGAGAACAATGATGAATATATATTTTTTAAAAATGTGACGGTAAAAAATGCTGCTACTGCAAATGGTGCGAGACAGGAATGCTAGTAGAAAACTGTTAAACGTGTTCATATATAATTTTTTACCGATTTATTTCCAACTGACAGCTGCACATTAAAGTAAAACTTTAAACTTCATACATTTAAACATGATACTGTATTGAAGTACATTTAGGTTTTACATTGTCCCATAATGCAGGAACTCACGTTATTGTTTGGCCCAATCAGAGCAAAATTAATATTATTGACTGAATATTCTCTGTAAAAAATACCAGAAGAATAATCCATTTTCTCATCTGCAGTACCAGCAGTGTAAATGGACTCGACAGAAAATCAGAGCCAAACATAAAAACATATTTATGTGATTTCTGCATCACTGGTTGTTGTGGTGGTGGTATTGATGATATATATTCGCCTGCAATCCCCCCCCCTTAAAGCCTCAACATACCTCGCTAACCCACTAAACTCGCTTCGCAGTACAGCCCTCTGGAGTGGTCTACTTATTTACTAATGATGCTGAATCCATTTAATAAATTACATGTTAAAAAGAAACAACTGTTTAAACCAAAAACAAAGTGTTATTGTTTCATTTAACATGACTACATGTTTAAAATTCTAATCAAAACTACAAATGAACACAGCTAGCAAGCTAAGTGAGATGGATTTACAAGGTTTCATTTTGGACTTTTTACAGTTATTTTTATGTTTTTATTTTATTCTCTTAATTTCATTTACGTAGAGGACTTTGATCTGCACTTGCTGTATACAGATAAAGTTACTCTTATAAGTGGCTTCAGTAAAAACCCAAAATGTGAGTTATCCTGTTTGGTTTGGTTTGATTGGTAGAATACCTTGTTGAAGCCCTGGGTGCGGAATTTGTCCATCGCCCTCTTGTTTATTTAAAGCAAACGGGATGAGCGAGCGGTGGACCTGACTGACAACTTGAGGATACTACACACACTCTGAAACATACCTGGTTTATCGTCTATTTTCCTCTGAATGGGACGAGTTACTAAATGAACATCATGCTGCATTGAAGGAGACTTGAAACTAGGGATTGAAGCCATAAACTCGTTAGAAAAATGTTTACTGAGGTGATAAATCAGGTGAGAATTCAAGTAATTTTCTTATCGGGCTTCTTTTAGCAAACGAAGGAGCCGCCCCCTGCTGGCTGTGAGAAAGAATGCAGGCAGTTCAAGGCACAGTTGTTTGCGAGCTGTTGTTCTGTTTTCCTACCACTGAGAGGTGAAGATGCCGTAAAACAGAGTTTCTGAGGTGTCGCTTCCCTCTGGTGGCTGGAGGGTGAACACATCCTGTAGGACATTGAAGGGAAGCTGTTTTTGGGACTGACATAGCAGAGAGGCTTTGGCAAAGGACGTCCACTTCTTCTGCAGCGTCCTCTGTCCACCAACGTCATGCTGTAGGACCGACACAGAAGGAGCAAACTTTAACATCATTAATTTACATCCATCATGCAGTCAGGAGCTCCTCTCTAGGTTTACTGTCACCTTGCAAACTTGAGCCACCCGTGCGATTTGCAGCTCGTTCACAAAGTTGAACTCTTTCCCAACTTCACTAAAGAAGAAGTAGAGTTTCTCTTCTGCCGGGTCCAGCGACGAACCCACGAACTTTGGCTCTGAAATACAAGAAGTGATGACAGAGGACGGAAGTCAGGGTGTTGTGCCATGTGGTCTGAATGTAGGGGAAAGCATTCTGAGAGCACATCAGCTGAAGGCAAACAGTCACATGATAATACAATGATTAAAATGACAGCACCTTTTTTCTGCATGTTGCTACAAAATAACCAAGAATCCATTTTGATAATCGATTTCAAAATCATTTCCAGAGAAAGTTGATGATGTCGAAATCTCGCTACAGTGTGGTTTTGTTTAAAGCATGCAACGTAACACAAATAAATGTGTCACCTGGAACTATGAGGCTTTTCTGGCTTTTTCCACTGCTTTTGTTTAGCCAGCTTCATTTTATAAAGTCTGAACTAAACTGCCTTAGCTTTTATTAAACTTGTCTGCACTTTATGAATTTAATTCCAATTCATTTTAAAATGCTTTATTTTCTTATCTTTTTTCTTTTAAATTATTTTTACAAAATCGTTGGGCACTTTCTTCAACTTGTCCACAGTATTTTTTTGATTTATTAAGTTTAATTAATGTAATGTTACTCAGCTACATTTTGTCTTTTAGATATATTAGAATTATGGCCAACTGCAGTGTGTTAGAGTCCCTTCTTTGACTGGTCCACTAAAACACATAGGTCATGTATGTAACTTTTGTTTGACATCTTCTCCACCTGTTCCGACAATAATCTATTTAAAGTTTTGCATGTATATGTACCATTGTTTGACTGTAACTTAAAAACACTAACAATACATTGTGTCTTGGTTTCCAGACATACAAGTAAAAACAAAATGAAAACTGATAACATGTTGCTGATATTTTCAGCATTTATCAGCTGGTCAGATAGGATATGTCAATTTGTCCCATCAAAGTGAACCCCAGCTGCTAAAATTATGCTGATAACTGAAAAATCTGATAATGAGACTTCACAAAGATGGAAAGGATAGAGGAAGCTCTGTGAGCAACTAAAAATAGTAGCAGCAGTAATCAGGAGGTACTGCAGTGGTTGTAGTCCTAAAATGACTCCACAAACAGTGAACTTCTTTCACAATCTAGCTGTGATAAAGAGATGCCAGCTGCTTCAGACTTGACAGAGGGGTTATCAATGGAAATAAAAATTTCTGTGAAGCTCAGGCAGCATGAAGGACACTTCACAACATCAGCCTCTATGGACAGAGGACAAGATAAAAAACACTTGTTGTGGGGCGCCGCTATAGCTCACCTGGTTGAGCTGGCGTCCCATGTACAGGGCTACAGTCCTGATGTGGAGGACATGTTCGAATCCCGCTCATGACCCTTTCCCACACGTCCTCCCCCTACTCTTCTCCCCCACTTTCCTGTCTCTCTCTCACTGATCTATCAAATAAAGGCACAAAGGCCCCCCAAAAAAACCCACTTGTTGCTGTTCAGAACAAAACTGCAGGATAAAATTTAGCTAAAGAACATGAAAAGGAGCCTGATGAATGTTGGGAGTACAGTCAGATTAGAGTCAGATAAGATACATTTGTCAGGTTCAGATGGAGTCCACTATGTTGACCTGACCACGACTACCACAGTGAATGCATAGTCCTGACAGTGAAGCACAGAAGTGAGAGTGTGATGATATGGGGCTGCATGAATGCAAAAGGTGTTGAGAAGATAACATTTATAGATGCACCATGTATGTCTGTGGATAAAACAAAATAATGTCTGACAAGATGACTCCCAGTCTGCAGAAGCTTGAAGAAGGGGAATATTCCAGCACGAGAACCATCAGAGCACAAAATCACACAACAGTTTCTAAAGGTGAAAAAATGGAAAACTATGACCTGGACAGTGTGTGCCCTGATGGAAATCCAATAAATCACCTTCTAAGTACTTCAAAGACAAAGACAGAGCAACACAACCCTTCCAGCACAGAACATTTGAACAAAAATCCTCTCTGAGAAATGTCCGATCATCCCTCCTGAAACTTGGTCTTTTTCTATGTGAATACATCAAGAACAATAAAAAAAAAAGGGTAAATTCTTTGTCTGTGCTTAGCCAAAAATGCAAGTTCTGGTATTGATTTAATAATGTAGGTAGATTTATTAGCTGAGACACCTCTTAGAATGTATCAGCAGCACCACAAACGACTGTGTAATCTTTCACTTTTGTGTGCACTATTTCTTTATCATGTGTAATCGTACTTTACTACCTCAGAATCATTGCCAGAATTACTTCTCACTTTTGTATTTGAGTTCTATTTTAACTTGTTTTAATTTTCTGTAACATATCATTAGTTTTTTTTCGTATTGCTTTTCTAGTAGGCACTGCATTTATTCTTATGTTGTGTGACTTTGTTTTCTGAGCAATATCTGGCACACAGGATTAGACGTGACAGCAGCCGCCACGCTAAATATAAAAAGTAGGAGGTTCATGCTTTTAGTGGTTTCATGTAAATGTGGTAATGTAAACCCAGCACAGTTTGTGTTGTCACATACTACCGAAACCACTAAACTTAAGGTGAAATTCAGATGTAATTTTGAAGATTTCTTTCTGAAGATTCCCTACAGCTTTGTGAGAATTGAAGCAGCAACTGGCTGTTTTAGTGCCTTGCTTTACCAGCTTCAGTTTCTGCAACCATTTCTTTCTATATTTCTTAAAAGTTTCCTTCCCTTTTTTGTCCGTCTGTGACTGACCACAGCACTTTGCTCTCTTTCTGTGTGTTTATTTCTGCATGTTGAGTCAGTTTAAAACAGTTTAAAACTCACAGTTTGTGCAACTTAGAAACCACAGGGGTAAACACTGATAATGTCAGCATCTTGTTCACTCACCTTCCAGTAATCTGATGGACGAGTCCAGGTTGACGTCTGAGCGGCTATCTTTGCTGAAGTATCGAGAAATTTGTGGTTTGTCTCCTCTAAAGTCGATCGTTGTGGCAGTAAACAACTCGCCATCTGCATAAGGATAAACAGAACAGTTTGTTTTAAAATGAACATGTGTCACTGACAACATTAACTCTATTTAGGTTATAACAGCAGAGCAAAGAGCGCAGACTGACCGATGATGACGGCAGTGTTCCTCTCAAAGGGGCTGAATGGACAGCGACCTTTAGCACCATCACGTTGGACCATAGAGAAGCTTTCAGCGTCCTGAAGGAGGCAAACAGAAACTGAACTGAACAGCAAAGTATTTCTGTAGTGGTGAATCATGTCTGGTCTGGAGAAAATCTGCCATAAACAAAAATTTATAGCAGGTTCATTTCAACTTGGGTGTTACTGTGATAGTTTTGTTTGTTCTTTGTTAGCTAAAATAAGCATCCTAATTAACATCACAGTCAACATGAATTACAGATGCATCATATCAATAACTGATGCGAGCAGATGGCGATATTAGCATAAGCACTTTATAATTTGCCAAGTGGACCATGTTAATTTCCAGTTATTGGAAATTGCAATGTCACACATAGATTACAAAAGTCAACAACAGGTTAGGAATATATACACAAACTTAATTTTTGAAGACGCTAACATCATCAGTATTACATTTCCATTTCAGTCTGTTGTCAAACTCAGAGTCACTGACTACAGCAGTAGTAATAGTAGTACTGGTGGTAGCCATTTCTAATTAAAGGCTCGGGTTAAGATTAAGAGTTGTACCCACATGTGACCAAGTCCAAGTTCAAAAAAGGCAGTCAAATTGAAGACCAGGTCCAAAAGGAGTCAAGTCTGAGTCAAGATCAACTCCAAAAACAGTAGAGTCTGAGTCAAGAGAGAGTCCAAAAGGACTCAAATTCAAGTCAAGATCAAGTATAAAATAAGCTGAGTAAGACGCTCAAAGAAGCTCAAAAAGGAGTCAAGTCCAAGCTCACATCCGATTTAAGAGTCCAAAAGGAATCAAACCTGTCAAGACTGAGTATAAAAAAAGAAGTCAGATTCAAGACCAAGTCTAAAAGAAGATGAGTCCAAGTCAAGACTGAGTCGAAAAGGAGTCAAGTCCAAGTCAAGATTGAGTCTGAGTCAAGACCAAATCCAAAAAAAGACGAGTTACTTGCAAAACTGAGTCTAAAAGGAGTTGAGTTTAAGTCAAGATCAAGTCCATGCCAATACTAAATTCAAGGGGAGTTGCATTCAAGTCATGATCACGTCCAAAACAAGCAGAGCCAGAGTTATTACTGGGTCAGAAAGAAGTCTACTCCAAGATGGAATTGAGTCCAGAAGGAGCTGCACACACTTTGCTAACCAAGCTAGCTGGCAGCAATACTTCGTCCGTCATCCAAGCTTTTTTCCCGTCACTCATCTACATTAACATGTAGCACATTAGCATAAGGCCTGCTAGTAGTTAATTAAAATTATCGCCTCACTAGAGCTGCTTCTGCATAGCTCCGTCTCTCTGCCTGTAGTCACAGATCTGGGGTTAGTAATCAGTGTTACCTTGCTATGGTCGAGTCAGCTAACCAATCACAGCTGATTCGGCTTTTCAGGAGGTGGGGCTTTTAAAAAGATTGGAGCTAAAACAGTGGAGTATTACATTTATGAATGGAAACATATTCTAGCAGACCCCCAAAATAACATTACAGACCTCTAAATGCAAATTATGGGCTCTTTAACCAACATTAAGTTAACAACGTTTGTTAACTGCTTCTGCTACATCTTGCCCCTCTCATCCAAATCACATCAGGCTCCAAAAAACCAAGATGGCGACAACATTACTGTCAAACTCCAGTCCACGAACCGAAGAATGACCTCAGTGTGGCAAATTCTTTTAAACATGGTGTTGACTTACAATGCAGGCATCATGGGGGTTGTAGGCGTAGCTGCCGCAGGCGTAAAGATGGGTGGTGTTTAACGGTTGCAACACGTGGACAAAGTTCGGACAGTCGACCTGCAGACACAAACAAAATCAGGGATGAATTTTTTTTTTTTTTACTGCAAGACTGAACAAATGAGCAATATCATCTCACAATGTCAATCTGTAGAGTTATGAGGCAGGGGAAGCTTTTTCCTGTAAGAGTCCTGTTAATTTTTCCTATAGAAAATGTTTGTAGTGCTAATACAGCTCAGATCAGTATGAATCATCAGTCTAAATGATATTTTTCTGCCTTTATTGGAGAGCTACAATAGGTAGACAGGAAGGGAACAACATGTAGTGAAGTTCAGGCTGACTGAGAATCAAATTGGGAATTGCGCTACATTTGGATGGAGCAGTGTTTATAATTACCGTTGGATTCTTCCCTTTACTTTCACAACTGTTGATGTCATTCGCAGATGGACTCCAATCCACCTGAACAACAGACAGACAAACTAAGTCGAACAACATTATGGACAGAAAAGGAAAAATTTAGTCAAATGAAAAGCCCTGTAGCCCACCTTCTTCTTCAGGACTATGACTTCACTCTGACGAACGTCCAACGAGAGGATGGCGTCTCGTGCCCCAACATACAGGGTGGATTCGTCGCCACTTAGCAGCAGCGTGGTGGTGTTGTGGACGTCGGGGAGGCTGAAGTGAACCAGAGGTCTGGATGCAGAGTCTGAAGGCAAACACATGACTTTACTGATTAGCCTGGACTCATGAAAGATCTGAAATCATCCTCAGAGCTAAATAAAAAAGACAAGACACTTCTGAAACTGTTCAGACCCCTTTATTTTCTTCACACTTGTCATGTCAATATAATTTTAAGTAAATAATGTTACAACTTGATGCCATTAATCTGTGAAAAGATGTTCTTAGAATTTTTTGCAAAATTATTAAAAATCTAAAACAGAAATCCGGCACTTCTAAACTATTGTCAGTCGTCACAGGTTTACTTTAATTATCTTTGAGATGTGTCAAGAACCTGAGTACATTTGCAGTAAAATGACCTGATGGGACACAGTTTATAAAGTTTTACAATCTTTATGTATGTAAGAGCCTACAATTTACATTGCATGTCAGGAGTTAACAAGGAGGAAGGTCCTCAGTCAGACTAAGAACCCAACGATTCCTCAGAAGTCCTCTGCAGACGTGTAGACCTTCCTAGAATGATGAACATCTCAGCAGCTCTCCTTCAAACAGGCCTTTATGGTAGAGCAGCAGGAAGAAACCATTGTTTTCCTTCTCCGAGGTTGGGTTGCAGTGGCAGCAGGTAAAGCAGGTCTTTCCCTCTTCCCCCACAGCATTTTCCAGCTTCTCCAGGGCATCCCGAGGCATTCCCAGGCCAGATGAAATATGTAATCTCTCCAGTGAGTACTCGGTCAACTTGGAAAACCTTGGCGGCATCTTATTTCGATATCAAACCACCTCAACAGGCTACTTTTGACAGAAAGAAGCATCCATTCATCCATCCATTATCTATACACCGCTTAATCCTCATTAGGGTCGCGGGGGGGCTGGAACCTATCCCAGCCGACTTAGGGTGAAGGCAGGGGACACCCTGGACAGGTCACCAGTCTATCACAGGGCTACACTTACAGACAGAAAACCAAGCACACATACATTCACACCTACGGACAATTTAGAATCACCAATTAACCTCAACATGTTTTTGGACCTTGTGGGAGGAAGCCGAGAACCCAGAGAGAACCCACGCTGCACGGGGAGAACATGCAAACTCCACGCAGAATGATTCCGGTGCCCCCACCGGGACGGGAACCGGCAACCTTCTTCCTGCGAGGCAACAGTGCTAACCAGAAAGAAGCAGCAACTCTGAATATCCAAGCTTCTACAGCGGAGCCCAGCCACTCTATGGAGGAAACTAATTTTGGCAGCTTGTATCTGCAATCACTTTTTTCAACTCATCCCCAACCAAGGTTGGATCGTCTGACAAATCAAAAACATTGCCTTCTGTCTCAGGTCCCTCTTCACCACGACGGCCCATTACAACACCCACATCATTGCTGACGCTGCAGGACAAGTCTTTGACCCTACAGAACATCAGTGGAGAGACCTGAAGATGAAGGTTCAGATGCTTCCATCTAACTGACATGGCCTGAGATGATCTGCAAAAAGAATGAGATAAACTGCCCAAAACCAGGAGTGCGGAATGCAATTTTCTTAGCTTTGTCAAAATGAAGATGGTCATTAAAAATGAGACTATTCACAAAAGTTTTGCGTGCGAACAAGAACATGCACCTGTTCACAGCATGTGGTTTCTTTCTCACATCTAACTTTACTAGTCTAAACAAAGCCCCCGTTATTAAGTTGTTAAAATGTAAAACAGACTGACACTATAACAGGAGGCAAGAGAACACACAGAACAATAAATAACAGTGCAGCAACACATCGACGGTTTCATATGTCAGCTGACCGGCACCACTTCCTGTTTCTGAGGCTGACAGTATGGGTTCAGGTTTGAAGAGGATGTGGTTAAGAGCTGTACAGAAACTGTCTGTCTTTATCTGAACATCTGGGCACAGATAAGAGCTTAAATGTAGAAGTTATGATGGAAGTGTCTGACAATAAAATATAATCTTATTCACAGCATATGCACATGTCATTGTGTCTGGAAGATTATCTATGATACACAACAACTGCATGTAAGCTATCGCTGAGAAAGTACATCATACGAGGTGTGTCAGAAAAGTTCTAGGACTGGTGTCACAAAAGATATCAAATCCAAACTACAAGTTATGAGTCTTCCCCTTCAGACGATCAACCAGCACGTCTACAAAGAGATCCTGCGGCATTTGCTGCTTTCAGTGTACAAGAAGAGGCGAGAGTTGTGGCAGGACAAGTCGTGGCTGCTTCACCATGACATCACGCCTGCTCACAATGCCCTGAGCATCCAACAGTTCCTGGCTGAGAAGAACATCGCTGTGCTGGAGCAACCTCCCTACTCACCCCACCAGGCTCTGTGGGATTTTTTTCCTCTTCCCCAAGCTCAAGGCGGTCATCAAGGGGACCCGCTTTGAAGACGTGGACGACATCAAGATGGCTGTGGCGATGGAGCTGCATAGGATCCCGAAAGAATCCTTCCAGGAGTGCATGGCGGTGTGGCAGAGAAAGCTGGGAAAGTGTGTTCGAATCCAGGGAGATTACTTCGAAGGGGAAAACTGGTAGTTTGGATTTGAAATATATCTTTTGTGACACCACTCCTGAAACTTTTCTGACACACCTCGTATATGAGCTACATATATTTACAAAACAAAAACTAAAAATCTGTTGAATGAAAGGTCAGCTTTCCCTGAGTTGTCTCCTGCCAATGAAGCAGTGTTGCAATGACACTCAGTACATCTCCTCTAGAGATACAATCTATCAGTTGTCAGTGATTATTCTGGGATGTCAGTCTGTTATGAATGTACACGACATGAAATGACACAGAAATTACATTAAGTTGACAAAAGGTATGTCGTCAAAATGAATTACCTGATAAAATATTAATAACATTGATTGTATTAAGAATCTTAAAATAAATAGGTCAAAAGAAAAAAAAACAAAACCTCATTCATAGTGATATTCCAGCAGAACTTCTACTTCTCTTTTCCAGTCTCCCCACTGTCATGAATGAATGCCTGTTACTGTGGTAACGGTGACTCAGAATGGTTTTTATGGGGTTTTTTGATGTCTCACAATGACACTCTTCCACAGGCACAGAAGTGAAGTGTAAAGTTTTACACTTGCTTCAGCTCCTGTGGAAGATTTATTGTAACAGTAAACTCATGAGCAGAAACGATGGAACTTCATCAGGCAAAGACAAATGACTTTACCTCACTTTAAGGTTCTGATGGACACTGTCAGAAGTTTCTTCTCTCCCTGCTATTAAATATTCCAGCCACTTGTTATGTGAAAAGCTGAGCTGAACAGTGTGAGTGTCACTATGAAAATGTGAGAATGACATTTCACATAGAACATTGTAAGCAGTCGTACAGTGCATTCTCGTGGCACCGTGCTGAGAAACAAAGCATCATATTGGCTGCTCCTCATTTACATAAAATTGAGGTCAAGGTTCCTTCATTTAAATAGGTCGTCACCTCTGGAAACGCCTGAAAAACTTTTATAATAGCAGTTGTCTATCTGGAACTGCATCAACATGGAGGCTCACTTGAAAACTTTATTATTAATTTATTATAAAATCAGTTCACTGAAAAGAATTTCCGAAAGTATCTGAACAATCAGCCATGCAGTTGCTGAATCTGGCTTCATTTTAGATTGACAACAGCTGGTTTAGAAGACTTTAGGTTCCTTGAAGCAGCCAGTCGACGCCTGTGAGTTTTAACTTCATACAAATGAGGAACGGACACTGAGACAGTCTGTCAAAAGTAACACATTGCAACGCAATCAGAATGTGTTAAACTGCAGATGTGCGATATGTTCTGGTAGCGTCATGTTGCATTTTCAGAGACAGGTTGTACGTTGGACACTCCTCGTCTGCGTAATATTTTGGTCGAGGCTCCTTTATTACCTAAAGGGGCATCCAGTGCGACTTGCCACCTCTGAAAACTCCAGAAAAACGGCTAAACTAAACAATGTTGATCTGAAATTAAGACAGAATCAGCAGCTGCATTTATTATTTTTCATGTCAGAGGTTTTCAGAGACACATGTCAGTGTCCGCCATGTTGCACTTGATTCGTCGACTGCTTCGCTCCTATACTGTCTGTCAGACAGGACCAACATGGCGGCTGAGGAACTCTCTTTTACACTAGAAAACTGAAACATGTTTCTAAAAAACATCTGTGGTGAGAAATAAGCTATGAAGCTGCTGAATCTGTCTTCAGTTTAGATTGGCAATGGTTATTTCAAAGTTCTCCATGAATTTACAGAGGTAGTGAATCACATTGGATGCCCCTGATTTGCACACAGTAGCTGAGACATCAACTTTATGCAAATACCAAGCTGGTAACGTGCGATGCAACACGGCACTACCACAATGCGCAACATGACTCAACGCCTCTGGAAACTCACAGAAACATTTGAACTACCTGCTGTCGATCTAAAATGAAGACAGATTCAACAGATGCGTGGCTCATTTCTCACATTTCAGTTTTGTAATATGAGAGAAAGTTTCCAAATGAGCTACATGTTGGTCCAGTCAGAAATTCAGAAACAGGCAGGCCACAAAGACACTCCTGTGGACGCATACCATTAGTCTCTAGGCTTTTTATGCCATTTCCCAGCATTTCAGCACAGAAATGCTTCAAACACCTGGTTTGTACCATCACTATTAACAAGAAAAACCCAACCAGAAGGCAACTTGATGCTGAAGTCAGTGCTTAACTAACTGAATAATCCTTTTCAACAAGCATCAGTTTCTCTCTGGTAATACAAAACCATTTGCTTTTTGCAATTTCTGCATTTCATTGTCTGACTACTTGTATGCTGTGCTGTGATAATTAAAGGTAAATCTAATCAAATCTACTCAATGTTTTATGACAAACAGCTCTTCTGAGGTGTCAGATCATTTAAAATCACAACTGGAGCATGAAGACAACAAAGATATTAAATCTCCTAAACTCCCTCAGCTGCCTCATCTCTGCTGCTAAAAACACACAAATATCATTGTTTTTGGACAAATTTGCAGCCCGTGAAACCAGAAGACCTGACAAACTCTCTGGAAAAGAAAAGATAAGCCACAACTTGCAAAAACTGCTCTAAAAGTCTTGAATGTGTCCAGAATTAGAAATGCTTCAGCTGAAAAAATGTACAGTTCAGAAACATAAATGTACAGTTTAGATACATAAAAAATGGCACATTTGCATATTATTTAGTCTGTAAACTAACGTCACACTTCTACACTACAATCTTTGTGCTTCCTAACAATGTTTGAAATCAGCCAATGACAGAATTTCTGGTTGCTGTCAGTTGCATCATTTTCCTGTTTAATTTGTAACCTTTGTGTTCTCTCAGTTGTGGAGCCAAACATATGACTCATGTGTGTCGCAAGTTTAGAATGCATCTCATAACATACTGCACAGAGAAAATGAACACGCAATAAGGATAAAACAGCATCTTAATGGCTGCATTTTGAAATGAACATATAATAATGCCTAAAAGAATTCTATTTAAAAACGTCATATTTAAAGTACACAGCATTTGATACAGACTCC